TTCTCCCTCTCTCAATACACCCTCCTTGGGACTCTTCAGAAGCAAGACCACCAGTCCACTCCATATTCAAATCTAGCCGCTGGGGTGGCGAGCCTGTCCACCTTAACCCCCCCTTTCAGTGTGGGGCCCTCAGCTCCTCCATCCCTCCCCTAGGGCTCTGCCTCTCACAGAGTCTACCTGCGCCACCCCACCCCCTGCACCCTATGCTCCACACTGCCTGGTAACCTGGTGATTGCTACCCCCACCTCCTGAGAGATGCCACCCCTTGTTCCGGAGGAGGCCTCAGCCTCGCCCTCAGGCTGGGCTCTCTTCTCCTTGGGACCCCCATTCCCCCAGCATGGCTGAGGGAAGCTACCACATGGAACCCGAAAGCTACAACGTTGAAGACATGGAGGAGGGTAGCGATGAAGTCGGGGAAGAAGAGATGGAAGGAAACGACTATGAGGAATTTGGTGCCTTTGGAGGCTACGGCACCCTCACCAGCTTCGACGTCCGTATCCTCAGAGCCTTTGGGAGCCTGGGTCCAGGCCTTCGCATCCTATCGGTGAGGCCCCTTGTCGGCCACCTGCTGACCCTGGCTCTCCCCCAGCCCGCTCTCTGAATCAGCCAGGGGACGAGAAGAGGGGGAGATGAAGGGGAAGGGCTTGGGCAGGAAGGGACTGCCCAGCTCCCCCCAGCCACCCCTGTGCTGTTGGGAGAAAGAGGGCTGGGGCTGGGACCGGGCCTCGTGGGTAGCCAGGAGGAGGCTGGCCAGCGCGGGGAGAGCAGGATGCTAGTGTAGAGTGGCCTGCCTTCCCCTAGCCTTCTCTCTGCCCTTGCAGAATGAGCCCTGGGAACTGGAAAACCCTGTGCTGGCCAGGACTCTGATGGAGGCATTTCAGCTGGACCCAGAAGCACTTGACAGTGAGGCGGCCACCCGGGCTGCCAACGTAGCCCGCGCCGCTGCCTCCAACCATACCGCTCGAGCTGCTGCCGCCGCTGCCCGTGCCACCTACAATCAGGTGGTCGCCAACCACCCTGTGGCTGAAGAACAGGCTCCAGGAGAAAGTGCCCAGCCCATGACATCCACGGCCGAGGCTCAGGCAGCCACCCCTGAGGCACCCCTTGCTTCTCCACGCATCTCCCAGATGCTAGTCAAGAGAGAGATGGCCGCCCCTGGGCCCACAGCCACCTCCACCCTGCCCCAGACAGCCTCGCAGGCCCAGAAGGCTGCTAGTGGGGGCCCGAGTACTGCCTGTGCTTTCTCTCCGGCTCCATGTGCCAGTGAGAGGGATGCCCTGCGGCCCAAGACAGCCTTCCTGGGTCAGAACGATATCTTTAATTTCACCCAGCCAGCAGGTGTCAGTGGCATGGCCTTCCCACGCCCCAAGAGACCCGCCCCAGCCCAAGAGGCTGCCACCGAGGGCCCCAGTGCTGCCTCCTCGGGGGGGGCCCAGGCAGCATCTGCCACGGAGGGGGCCGCCACCCGGCCCAAGACAACCAAGTCTGGGAAGGCTCTCGCCAAGACTCGGTGGGTAGAGGCTCAGAATGTTGTGACAGCCGCTGCTGCCAAGGCCAAGGTGGCCACGAGCATCCCTGAGCCTGAAGGTGCAGCTGCCCCTGCTCAGTGCAGCACAGAGCCCTGGGCCAGGATGGGAGGCAAGAGGACCAAGAAGGTGAGACCTCCCCTCTCTCTCCAGCCCCCCTTGCTCCCCTCCTTTCTCTGCCCTCCCCTCTCCTCAGGGTTCTCCAACACAAGTTTGCTAGCATGCTTTTACTGCACAAGGTCCCTACGCTCAGGCCTGGAGAGCGAAGAGGTTGGCTCAGTGCCTGACACCTAGTAAGCACTCAGCACATGTCATCCACTATCTGTACTACTATTATTTCCAATACCTGCTCTGGGTAAGATGTGTGTGGGCGCTTTGGCATGGTGAGCCTGGTAGCCCCGGGTCTCCTCTCTCTAATGCTTCAGTCCAAGCACCTGGATGATGAATATGAGAGCAGCGAGGAGGAGAGAGAGCCTCCTGTGGTCCCACCGCCCTGGAGAGCATCACAGCCCCCACTGGCAGTGCGGGCTCAGATGGCCCCTCGGCCCCCGGTGGCCCTGAAGTCCCAGGTGCCCTCAAGGCATGTATTGTGCTTGCCGCCGCGCAACGTGGCCCTTCTACAAGAGAGGGTAGGTCTACCCTTGCTCCACCTCCCTCCTTGTTTTCAGGCCAGTTCATCGAGGTACCCGTCCATGCCTTGTTCTCCCCATGTGCTCCTCCTCTCCAGGCAAATAAGTTGGTGAAATATCTGATGATTAAGGACTACAAGAAGATCCCCATCAAGCGCTCAGGTGGGCAACCTGTGCCCCCTCCCTGAGCTCTGCCCTCCCCCCACAGCCCTACCCTGGGCACCTCCCATCACCAACCCCACCCACCAGGCCTCGGCTCATCGCTCCATTTGCATAGGACTGGGTCCTGACTGTGCTCCCCTCAGCAGGGCCGCCCCAGGGGCTGCACCTCTGTGGCCCCTGCTCAGCCCAGGGGCTCTCCCCCATCTCCCTTCTTGCAGACATGCTGAAGGACGTGATCCGAGAATATGATGAACATTTCCCTGAGATCATCGAGCGAGCAACGTACACTCTGGAAAAGGTGGGCGTGGGGATGGGGGAAGGCAGCCCTGTGGGACGAGCGGCTGAGAAGCCTTGCACCCTGCAGCCCCTCCAGGCCTGATTTCGGTACTGCCTGCTCTGGAAGCCTTCCTTAGCCTGTCCTCCCGGGACCACGCACTGCATACTTCCTGCCCTCGTGCTGCCTGAGCATCTGTGGTCTGTCTGGTGAAGTGGGTCCCTGGGGCCTCGGCCAGGGCCACAGCTCCCAACGGGACAGGTCCTTCGCTTCCTCTCTCCTCCAGTTCTCCCCCAGGACTTTGGGTTCTCCACTGAGGAAAAGTTCCTGCAGGGAATTGCGTGACTGCCTGCAGAACGCCCAGCAAGGATTTTGGATCTCACGGTTCCGTTTTCTCCCCCATGTAGAAGTTTGGGATCCACCTGAAGGAAATTGACAAGGAACAGCACCTGTACATTCTTGTCTGCACGCGGGATTCTTCAGCTCGCCTCCTGGGAAAGTGAGAAAGGGCAGGCGGGTTGTGGCCTTCCTGAAGAGAAACAGGAAAACAGGCCTTTAGTGCCTAGCTCAGAACTGCCCACAGTTACTGCGGTGCCCAGTGATTACTGGATGAAAGGGGTAGTAGCAGGGGGAAGGGGGGTTGGGGGGAGGCCTTGCTGCTGTCAGGGGTTCACCCCTGCCCTGTCGGCCAACCCCCAACCTTCTTAGGAAAGCGGGCTTCTTGTTACTTGTCTCTTCCTCCTAAGTACCTGGCCCTGGCTTGGCAGAGTGGTCCTGAGGCAAGCTTCACACCAAGTGTAACTTCTGAGGTGCGAAGGGCAGGGCAGGGCAGGTCTCTATGTGCCTCTGGATGCACGTTGCCAAACATTTGCACCCTGCCTCACCCCGTCCTGGGCAGAACCCTGGGAGGGGGCGTTAGCATCCACATTTGATGGATGAAGTGATTCAGTCTCAAGATGGAGGAATGACTTGTCCGGATCAGGTAGCAAGCCATGTGCAGAGTGGGAAGAACTGCCCCGTGGCCAAGCAATCTGGGAGAGGCTGGTCGGGTGAGCCGGCTGCAGTCCCTTGGGCAAATGGCTGCTGGACAGCATCCCTCTTTCTACGCCTCTAGGACCAAGGACACTCCCAGGCTGAGTCTCCTCTTGGTGATTCTGGGAGTCATCTTTATGAATGGCAACTGTGCCAGCGAGGGTGAGTGGCTGGACCCGCGGCTAGGGGGAGGGGTGGGGGGCACCCACAGTGTCACCTTGGTGTGCTAAAATTTTATACCTCATCTCCTCTCCCAGCTGTCCTCTGGGAGGCCCTACGCAAGATGGGACTGCGCCCTGGGTATGATTGGGCTCTCTCTGCTCCCGCCCCTCAGTGTGATCCTTGGGCACAAGAGGCCCCAGGATTGCAATAACCTGGGGTCTGGTGTAGGGGAGCGGGCATCCTGGACGAGGTAGAGTGCAAAGGGTCTCACCGGGGTGCATGGGGAAATGGTCCTGAACTCTCAGCCCCTCTGCTCCATGTCCCCTCTCTGTCCCCAAATGAGAGATCTAAGAGGAAGCATCAGAGTTAGGGGCTCCAGGAAACCCCTACCTGGGGCTATCTCTGACAAGTGGCCTTCTGGCCTCTGCTGCATGTCCAGGCCTCCATCGGGCTGCCCCACAGACTGGGGAGTGTTCCATCTTGCTGGGGAGTGCCCCTGCCCTCATCTGGGCACTGCCACGTCTCTAGTCATGGATTCCTTTCCTTGCTCGCAGGGTGAGGCACCCATTCCTTGGCGATCTGAGGAAGCTCATTACAGAAGACTTTGTGAAGCAAAAGTAAGTACTGACCCAGTTAACTTTGGCTCACAGTCGTGTGTTCCTCGTGTGCTGGTCTGCTGAGGAAGCCATTCCCCGTCCTGTACCTTAGCAGATGGGGGATGGGTGCCTCTGGTGTGAGTGGGGTTGGGGGTTATGTGACTGTTGGGGAGAGTAGAATTCCTGGGCAGGCTTGGGGGAGAGGAGCACAAGGTGACTGAGAACACGGTGTCAGGTGGGTCACAACCACCATCTCACTCGGCACCTGTCCATAGGCTGTATGAGAATTTCCCCTGCTTTACATCTCAGGAACCTGGGCTCAGCGAGTGGAAGTCTGAGCATGGCTCCCCAGAGGCCCATTCGGGCCAGGGGCCTAGCCCTCCTGACTTTCTGGCCAGGGCCCACCCTGTGTGCTTGGACCTTGGAGAATATGGTGTGCACTCACATGGGTGCACTAGCACACACTCTTGCCACCCCCCCCCCACACACACACACACAATCGCGGGCGTGCACATAGTACACTGCTCTTGGTTGGCTGTTTCTCCCCTTTATAGTGGTTTTCTATGGTAGACTGTCCCAGGTCTCAGCCACTGGCAAAACCCTGCAGGGGTGGGGCTGGGGGTTGTGCTCAGAGCAGGGGGCCTGAAGAAATGGCTCCTCTGTTTACAACATACCCAACAGGAACCTGGGTTTTTTGTAACAAGGGGTGCAAACCTTGTGGCCTTCCTATGAACAAATACCCTACAGGCAGTGTCCCCTGCACCTCCACGTGGCTTCTGGGCAGGACCAAGGGCCTAAGGCTTTGAAGGCCTCCATGTAGGAGGCAGAGCCCCTTGGGAGTGAGTGAGCGTGGGAGTGGGCACCGGCTGCAGGGGCTGGGAAGGTGCCACCTTGGAGCCGTTAGCACAACAACAGGTCAGCCTGGCTGGAAGCAGAAGCTTGCTATCCTCTTGCATTGAGGTACCTGGAATACAAGAAGGTCCCCAATAGCAGCCCACCTGAGTATGAATTCGTCTGGGGCCTGCGAGCCCACCACGAGACCAGCAAGATGAGGGTGCTGAGATTCATCGCCCAGGTAATGGAGAGCCTCTGTTTGGGGCCGGGCACTGGGGTTGGCACTTCCCAACCTTCCTTGTTTCTTGGTCACGACCTCCTCCTGCCATTTGTCCTATGAGGATCTTGAGGCTCAGAAAGCTTCGTAAGTAACCCACACAAGTTCACCGATGTAGTCGGGGTGCGGGATGGGGAGAAATCCATGTCTGGGTCAGATAATAGGAGCCTGATTCCCGTGCTCTTTGCTGTTATCGTGATCAGGCAAGGCGTGCGGGAGGGCATGTGGCAGGAAGCTGGTGCCAGGGTGAATGTGGGGTAGCTGTTGGGATGGGTGCTGTTTTCCATCGCAGTATCAGAACCGGGACCCCCGGGATTGGAAGACTCATTTCTTGGAGGCTGTGGATGATGCTTTCAAGATGATGGATGTGGATATGGCTGAGGAACATGTCAGGGCCCAGATGAGGGCACAGATGAACATCGGGGACGAAGCTCTGATTGGACGGTGGAGCTGGGACGACATCCAGGTGGAGCTGCTGACCTGGGACGAGGATGGAGATTTTGGCGACGCCTGGGCCAGGATCCCCTTTGCTTTCTGGGCCAGATACCATCAGTACATTCTGAACAGCAACCGTGCCAATAGGGGAACCACCTGGAGAGCTGGCCTCAGCAGTGGCACCAATGGTGGGGCCAGCACCAGCACCCTAGATGGCCCCAGCACCAGCTCCACCATCCGCACCAGAAATGCCGCCAGGACGAGCGCCAACTTCTTCTCTTGGATCCAGTGAGGTTTTCACAGATGTGACTCTGAGGGAAGGGCTGGGGAGGGGCTGTGAGCGGTCAAGGGAAGGCCGGGGCTGGGGTGGGAGCATGAGATTGGAAAGACGCGGTTCTGTTCTTCATGTCCCGCACTGTGTCACGTCTATTTATTTTCTGGTTGCCTCTGTGTCTTGTGATTACAGACAGCGCTGATGAACTGCAGCAGTCACACAGCCAGAGTGCCTCCTCAGAGTCCTTCTTGACGTAGCACTCGAGGCAGCTCCTACCTGCCCATCGGAGATGGCATGCAAGACGAAGCTCTCTGCCCTCCCTGCTTTCATTGTGTTCTTCTGTCGTGCTCACGTTTTGGGTTATCAGTGTTAACATTAAAGTTGCAAAATTAGTTGAGACGTTTCCTCCTTCACGTGCACACGTGCTACTCTGAGTGGCAGGTGGTCGGGCACTCTGGGACAAGGGGGCCCACCTCTGCCTCAAGGGCAGGCTGGTGTGCCTGGGGGTCTGGGGGATGTGGAGGTGCCAGCTGAGCGGAGACCATGAGTTTCCAAAGGAGTCCGAATACTTAGGTGACTTCCTACACGATGCAGCCCCAGTTAGACACCAATGGGGGGTGGCGGGAGACAGGATGGGGTGGAGGGTTGTGGGTTCGTGCCAACCATGCCCCCCCCCAGCAAGGGACAGGGTCCACCAGCACCCACCAGGACCCACTTCCTCCGCCCCATCTTGAAGGCACCATTCTGAAACCCTTCCCTCATGATCCACGCACAACTTGTGGCCCTCATCTCTGAGTCGGAGTCCTGAGGACAGTGAGGTAGGCCTCACAGAGACATGCTCACCCCTCCAGCTGGTAGAAGGAGGAGCTTCTTGCCAAGAGACTACATTTAATGAAAGCAAGGTAGCACGCAGACCTCCACAACCCATTGCCTGTGACCAGGCCCCAAGGACTATTGGGAGGCTCCAGGGCTGGTGACTTCTGCAGGGATGAAGCTAGGCCCACACTTCCTCACGTGGACGACAGAGAGCGAGAGACACTTGGCACCCATGGGAAGGGCATGGTAGCAGGCAAGGGCAGTGTCTAGAGCTTTCTCGGGTCCCCTGGAGATGCCCACAGCTTGGGAGGACAAGGTCTCAGGTTACGAGGACGGGGAGAGTAGTGTAAGAGCCCTTGCGCTCCCTGGCCACTTCTCCCCAAAAAGGGATTCCCCTTTCTCAGCCAGACCTCGATCCTGACCCAGACCCAGCTATATTCCTTGCTAGGCCTACTGGAAAATGAAAATGTGGGTAACTTGCTGAAAAATTAAGAATTCCAGGAGAGCGACAGCAGAGCCTTGAACAGCTGGGGAGGCCTCTAAGTGCAGGGTCCTGTGGGACTGCATACACTGCGCCCCCAAGAAGTTGACTCTGTACAGACCCCCTAATGAAAGGCTTCAGGTGGCCTTCCACCTGTTGGCCAGGGCTGTGATTCCTGTCTCCCTTGCTGCTGGGTCTGTGCTCAGCCACGTGGACACTGTGATTCTGACAAAAATTAAGTGCCCTTCCCTTTAGGATTCCAGGTGCATGGTCTGGGGTGGGGGAAGGATGAAGGATATATGATGTTTCTGGTGCTCTCTCCCCGGGATCCTCCTGGGACCCTGTTGTGCACACAGTAGGCACAGGCCTTTTCACGGATGAGGGTGGGGGCTCTCACCACAAGCCACGGGTGTGAGCTTGAGCACTGTGTGCAGAGGGCACCTAAGCTATGGCAGCTTATCTGGAAAGGGGGAGAAAGCAGCCCTCAGAAAAGGCAGTGCCAAAGAGGGTGCCACTTGCCCAGTCCTCCTGGCGTGCAGCACTCTCCCCCTTCCACCCAGTGGCCTTCTCCCAGTCAGCCTCATCAGGGGCCCGCTCCTCCCCCCCCCCACTCTGCAGGGGGAAGTGCTGAGAGCAGGGTGGGCTGGGAGGAAGAGAGCAGGGAGTCTCAGGAGCAGGGAGGAAGGAGGGAGGGCTCGGGCAATGCACACACACTGGGTTCTCCAGGAGGTCAAGCTGGTCAACTGCGAGGCAGCCACATCCTCACTCACAGGACAAATGTGACTGCAAGGTAGGTCCCCAGCTGGGCCTGAAGCCCACGACCCTCTAGGGCCAAATGTGTGCTGTGCTCACTGAGGTCGGCTGCCACTGCCTTCGAGGTGCTGACAGTGTCGTGGTGGTGAAACATCAACCTCTCACTGCTCTCTGATGATCCCCCCTCTCTCGCCCACCCCGGCTGCCCTTGCAGCCCTCCGTCTCCCTTCTTTAAGCCAGAAGGCTACCACTCATGGCTTCCCTGCTCCTGTGGTTCATCCTAGGCTTTTAAGGCCTGCCGCTGCCCTCCCAGCCTCCTGAGACATCAGGTTGGCGATTTCCTAGGCATCCATCCATACTCCTCCTCCTCCTCCTCCTCCTCTTCCTCCTCCTTCTCCTCCTCCTCCTCCTCCTACTACTCCTCCTCCTCCTCCCTGTCGTCCTTGTCATCCTCCTCAGGCCCCTGGCCTGGTGTGTTTGGTGCACTATCTCACTCCATCTCACTCTCTGGGGCTTACTGTTTCCATGGCACTCAGGACGAAACAGGCTCAGAGAAGGGAAACAACTTGCCTGAGGTCTCTGACCCAGCTCTGCCACCACCTCCACAAGGGACCTTGGACCAACTTTATCTCTCTCTGGCCCTCCATGTTCCCACCTCTCACAGCAGAGGCTTGGACTAGATGCACTCTGAGGGCGCCCTGGCTCTGAGGTCTTGTGGGTCTGCTTTCTTAGTCCCATCAATTCTCTGGGGCTCAGTGCCCTCACCTGAGTAAGAGGGGTAGGAGCAGGTGTGCAGCCCTGCCCGGCCCAGATGCCAGGGCAGCTGCTCACAGCTGCCGTGGCCTGAGCATGAAAGCTGGTAGGTAAAGCAGCCTGCAAACAGGAGGCACACGTGCCCCCCACAACTCCACACATGTCTGAGGTGGGGGAACGGGGCTCTGGAACGTACCTGAGATTGACGCCTCTCCCTGCTCCTCTGAGTCCCTTGACCTTGGGCAAGTCACTTCACCTCAGAACCTCCATTTCCTCATCTTCACAGTCAGGGTTACAGTGCCCACCTCACAGCCTCAATGACAGCACCGAGCAGTAGAGATTGGATGGTATCGGGAATGTAGCAGCACCAGGACCCCTGCTCCAACCCCCCCTCATGTTTTTCCAGTGAGGAGAGTGAGGACCAGGCAGAAGAAGGGACTCATCCAAAGTCCTGCTCTCAAGTTCCCTGGGTTCCAATTCTGTATGGTTCCATACTACAAGTGCCCTTTACTTGGGAACCAGCATCATAAAAATGATGCAAATCTGCAGGACCACTGCACACTTCAAATATGACGCTGCACTGTCCCTACACACCCTGACGGTATCCCAGACATGCTCGCGCTTCAGCATGTATGTCAAAAATGGACTCTCACACCTGAGGTGACACAGCAGTCCCTGCCAAGCCACCTGCCTTAGTTTGCGATTCCACCTTTGAATGGGAGAATATGTTTGCAAGTGATATATCCAATAAAGGGCTAATAACCAAACCACATAAAGAACTCATACAACTCAACACCATAAAATCAAACAAATAATCTGAGTAAGAAATGGGCAGAGAACTTAAATACGCAGTTTTTTTCCCCAAGAAGCCGTACAGATGGACAACATACACCTGAAAAAGATTCCCAGCATCACTAATCATTGAGGGAAATGCAAATCAAAGCCACACTGAGACATCACCTCATACTGGTCACAGTGGCTAATAGCAACAAGACAAGAAATAACAAATGTTGCTGAGGATGTGGAGAAGAGGATACCCTGGTACACTGCTGGTGCAAATGTAAATTGGTGCAGCCACTATGGAAAGCAGAACGGAGATTTCTCAAAAAACCAAGAATAGAAATGC